GATTTCTGAGAGTGTCCTAATGGGGCTGAGAAATTTGTTCAAATACACAGTAAAGGAAAGCAGGGTTAATATGGCTGCTACAATGCTTTTGATGCAATAACTTTTAATCTGAAAAATATTAGTAAAGTCTCATATGTTTCACTTTTAAAAAACCCCATATTTCAGGGGCTTTGTAGGCTTTTTTTATTTTTGGTTGGGTTTTGGGGTTTTATTTGGTGTGGGGTTTTTTTGTTTGTTTGTTTTGTTTTGTTTGCTGTTGGTTGGCTTTGGGGCAGGGGGGTTTGTTTTTGGTTTGGGCTTTTGTGTGTGTGTGTGTGTGTGTGTGTGTGTGTGTCTGTTTTGGGTTTTTTATCAGTGTCTGAATCATAATGAGGATATTTTGCAGTAACTTACTGCTGTGGATAAATGTATCAAGCACTTTAAACAAGTGCTGCTACTGTTCATTTCAAGCCAGCTCACAATCTGTATACTCATTCAACTTTTTTCTCTAAACAGTATACATCATTCTGAGCAGCTTCTATAAACAGACTAAGGTCTGCTTGCTATAGCAACACACCTCCAATAAGTGGATTTTCTGGCTGATTGAACAGAGGAACGATAACATTTCTTATCTAGCATACTTGTGTCAATAAATATATGTTTGTGCTAACCCCACAATAAGGTCCTCATACATTCTTAGGGTGCGATGGATGCACCAAAAACAGGGGGAAAGGGAGAATGACAACAATGATCACAACTGTATGTAAACAGGGGTCTCTCCCAGTACAGACAAAAAAAAATATCGTGGAAGAAAGTTCTTACCTTTCATCTGAGGTTTCGCCAGTTTTGATACCTATCTCTAGATAGGTGGGTTAACTCTGACATAAACTAATGAAATAGTCCAGATGGATGCTAGTCTGTTTCTCTCCATTTAGTAAAAAAAGACACTATATAATCAGATTGAAACTACACATTTACAGTATAAAGGTAGGAGATATGAATCCCATGGTTTCTGTGGGTGTGCCATTTTCCCATCTAATTCAGCTTTCTTCCTTTTCTGTCTCTTGCTGCTATTTGACCTGACATACTCGCAAACCCTGGAACTCAGTAGGTATTTCTATTAAGGCCAAAAACTATAATTTTTACCTATAGGTGCACAAGGTGATGCAACCTTGTTCAGTGCAAAGGACAGTGATTTCTGTTCAGAGCTGGTTAGAATATTTTTCACCATTGCTTGAATGCTTTTAAATGAATACTGTTAATTTCCTTAAAATGCACTATTTTCAATAAGAGAAACACTTGCTTAGACAAATGCTGTCATGAAAAACAATTTAAAATAATTATTTTTCAGTCTGACAAATTGACTTGAAATTTCAGTTAGAAATTCAAATGATATTTTACAGGTTTGCAATGTTAGTATGTGTCCTTTCAGGTCAATGCCATCTCTGTGTCTGGCCTCCATATTTCAATTTGTTTTAACGCCACATATGCTTTGTTTTGAACAAAACCAAACAAAGTGATAATTTGGCCTGTGATTAACTTGCAGCAGTATTTTAAAAAAGATAACTTAAAATTGATCATAATTATCATGGTACATCCTCTAGTTACATGTATCACTAGGCCTTTTACTGGCATTCAATGTAACCTTTGCATACCTACATACAGGTGACCCTCAAATGTGCAGAGCAATGGATTTTAAGCCATGCATGTAAATGCTTGAACCACTGAAGCATAAGCTAGATAAACTTGGCCCATATTTGTTGAAACAGTGTAAAATGAAACATAATTATGTGGAAATAATTTTGTCTTTTACACAACAACCTCTTCTTAACAATTAATCACACTTCTTTCTAGACAGTCTTTTTTTCTTGCTCTGAGCAAAACTTAAAACTGCCTTCACTTACAACTAGTGTAGGGTAGAAGGAAGGAGTAAATTCTGCAGCTGCAGGTGGACAAGAGGTAGCATTTCTTTGGCACCAAAAGTAATTTTTGTTTGGAAAAAGGGATGCTTTCATTTGCACAGACATTTGCATTATAAGAAGCAGGCCTAGCAGAAATGAATGAACAGACAGCACATAGGTGAAGTCTGAATGCAAATCAAATGGCTCTGAAATGTGGAAAACAATTGTCCTCAGATTAGGGTTAGGGTTAGCCCCATATTGGATGTATTTAACTTTCTGGATTTAATGAGTCATATGGACCCAAATGAGAATACCCACGTGCATGAAATTAAGATTTGACTATTTAAAATGATATCACCACAGCAGATCAGATCAGTCTAATATTTTAAACATCAGCACTTTCTTTCAGGGAGACACCACTACAGTTTAAAAGTGTTGGCAAGCCTGAAGGTAAAGTATTTAATTCTTAAGCAAATAAGAGTATCATCAACTCTTGACAGAAATCCCTAATTAGTTTATCTTTTGCTTATAATGATATAGTATATCCTTTGTTTATAAAGGGGAACAGTATATATCAAGTGTGGATGAGTAACAACAGGAAGTTTTAAATATTTAATACATATAAATTACTGCATTATTTGTATTCCAAAACTGATGTCATTCTAGAGCCTTATCCAGGCCTATTTGAGAATTTCCATTTGGGGCATTTCAAAGTATCTGAGAAAAACATTTCTATCTGAAGGTTCCTGGAAAAGGACATTATAGGTCCAGGGCCAATATACATCTAGAGATTGTGGGAGTTGCTCATAAATCAAAAGAAATGAACGGCTGAAATGTCCATTCAGCTCATTTGATGGTAGGAGTACTCAGCAACTCTGAAAATTAGTTTGCTTACCAGGTGCCTAAATAAGGATAGATTGGTGCTTTGAAAAATGTGAGCTTAATAAGTCAGTTTTGTAAACATACAGCAACGTTTGCTACATTTCCATCACATACTACAGTCAGGAAGGAAATAGGAGGTCTGGAACAACTGCAGCTTATGCTTCTAGACTTGATCCTGACACATGTTGCATCTGGAGGCTGGCAGACTTGGATTCCTGGCTTTTCCAGAGCTTTATAAAACTCAGTGGTGTACAACATGCTATGAGTTGCCATTTTCAGGACTAGAAGCCAAATGTTATGGAGAACCATTTTTTCCACATGGAAGGCTTTCTTTCTAGGAAGGTTTCAAACACAGCGATCGGCTCTGTTCTGCTCTTCCAGCAGTTTTGTACAGATTACAGTGGAACTGGTGAGCTTCTTTCTCTCTTTGCTAACTCAAGTAGTGAGGAGAGTTTTACAAGACCCATCAGTGAGCGTTGCAATCCAGGCATACGCCACGGCAAATTGCAATCACTCTGAGAGCAAGTGATTTCTCTGGGGACTTCAAAACACATGGTGCAGTGCGGTCTTTGGCACTTAAATCTTGCCTTACTTCAATCAGATGAAAAGAAGTCACAAAAATTAAAATAAAACAAATTTAGATTAATGTAATCTCAGTGATGAAGGTATATGCTCAAACTTCAGGAAATTATTTTTTTAGCCTTACATCAACTCAGCTGTTTTGCATATGCTGGCCTTGGTTAGTTCTGCTCTATTTTGGGGAATAGATGTTAGTATGTTTTTAATATTTTTTTCATATCTCTGAGATTTACAATTGAAATGTATACTTTAATACTTTTGATAACATAATATTTATTCCTAAATCTCTGGGAAGGTGGCCATCAACCCGGTCTTGTGCGGGTAAAGCCAAGTTTATGTACATATATGTACAAGTGCAAGAAAATGTGCATTTTGTGTTGTGGCTATGGCTTCTCAGTGCGATCTGGAGGTAAAGAAGCTATTTACCTATGTTGTACACATGACCCACACAGCTGGTAGGATGACAGCTATGAGAGAACTGTGGCTCTGCCCTCAACCAGCCTTGTAGGACTGAGGTTCCATTGAGTGGCCAAGGCTGGCAGGCACCTCTGGAGAGGGTCTAGTCCAGCACCCTTCTCAGGGCTATAGCTACAGTGGCTGCTCAGAGCAACACTCAGCCTGGTTTTTGATACACCCCTGATAGACATGCTACAGTCATTCATGACAACTTGCTCCACTAAAGACACATTTTTTTTATGTTTAAATGGAATTTCTTTCAGTCTGCACCGTTTGTGTCAACCCCTGCCACAGTTAGAAAGAACTAACTACTACAGTACTGACATGTCATGAGATAGAACAAGATGTGACTGGAGAACGGGAACATACAGAGGTTGGGCAGCACTTTTCTTGGAGAAACACCCTTGTTCCAGTTCCTAGAGATGAGCATAACACAGTACAGTTTAAGCACGGGAATGATAAAGCTAGGAGACAAGCATGGACTGTAGAGGGGGATCAAGACCACCAAAGCCCTTCAAAGCCCTCTGACCCATTTCCAGAATGATCAGACTGCACTTGCTAACTAAATTACACGGAAAGTGAGAGGCGTGTCTTCAGGGTGGAGAAAGCCTGTCCATAAACACGTACCCCTCCCAAGCCTGGGCAGAGACCCCTAGGACCGTGAGCTAGATCAATGCTGGAATCAGGACTGGTGATCTCTTTTCCTCTCTCTCTTTCTCTCTGCCCCTCTTTAACTCATCTCTTCCTTTCTCTCTTCTTTTCAACCTACCCCTATATCCAAAACCCACTCCCGTGCTCTTACACAGTAGGTCAGCGACTAACAAAACAGCTTCCGCGCCAAGCGTGCAATTCACTAATAAAACTTTCTGACTGTTTGCGGACCGTGTGACTTCTGTCGCTCCTTTGGACCACGAGCCTTTAGGAACCTCGGGGGCTCCCTCCCCGCTGCGGACGGGACATCCCGCCCGCCGGAGTCCCGCGGGGCGGGGGAGAGGAGGAGCTGCGCCGCCGGCACTCCCTCCCGCCGCCGCCGCCGCCGTGTCCCCGCTCCCCGCGGGTGCCGGGAAGGGAAAGGGGAAGAGGCGGAGCGGCGGCACAGCCCGACTCACGGCCGCGCCCCGCCGCCTTGCCGGCCCGCCCCGCCCGCCATGTTGCGGCGGCGGCGGGAGCGGCGGGATCGCGGGATCGCGGGGCGCTGGGAGCATGCGGGGCGCACGGAGCGGGCCGGGCGCACGGAGCGGGCCGGGCGCACGGAGCGGGCCGGGCGCGGAGCGGCGTCCCGCGGGCGCGCAGCCCGCGCAGTGGGTGCTCATTGCCCCAGGTAACCCGGCGGGGTCGCTCCGCGGGGCGGCTCTGCCGCAGCGCCGAGCTCTCCGCCCCGCCGCCGGCTCGGGCCGGAGGCGGGCGATCGTCCCGGGGCCTGGGCAGGTGCCGGGGCTGCGGCGGGCGGCCGGGCCCCGCCCGGCTGTGCTAAGGCCGCTTTGAGGCACGGCCTCTACTCGAGGCCCCGCACGGTTCCCGCCCTCCCCTCTCCAGGGACCCCGTTTCTGTCATGAGGGTTTTGCCAAGGGCTTCTGCCGCCCATGTCCCTGATGGGGTCTCGCTATCTTCTCCCCGGAGCTGGCGGCCCGCCTTGCCTCCATGCCTTCATTCCCTTCCTGCAGTTTTTGAAGGAAAGGGTTCAGTGCCCTAAGCCACAGCTCTCAGACTCCAGTCCTAAGCCAGAGTGAGATCTGAGCTCCCGAATGTGCCGCAGCAGAGCTCCACATGGCAGCTCTGCAGGTGCGATATCCGCTGTGTTGTGGAGGCTTCCTCTCTCCCATGCCGCTCTGAATCAGTGGAAGGATGCCTTTGCTCCTTACATGTATTTCTGTCTAGTAACAGGTTTAAACAAACAGATCACAAAATGTTTAGCTGTTAAAGAGTGAAAACAGGATGTGAGTGAAACGGGATATGTTCAAATGCCAAGACATTAAGAGGAAGGAGACAGAGCTGTCTTTTTCTAATTTGGTTTTTAAGGAAATGCAACCTTCATGATTATCTGTTGGCCAGCTTTGTGCTGTGGTTATTTCCTAACTCGTCCATAACTGGTGAGTGTTAATAACCAAACCTGATAAAGAGGATGCGTTCTCTGGAGTAATTTAGTGAACTTTGGGTGTGGTGTGAGAAATGCTGTAAATGGCATCACTGAAGGAAAGGTATAGAAAGAGCTTTGTTCAGCAAAGGTTGAAAATAAGGCAAGAACTCTATCTTGAGACATGTGCCCATAAGAAACCAGGCTTCTCTAGTTACATGGGAAACAGAAAAAGCTGTTATGATTTCACTGATTCCTCTCTTCCTCTAGTTTTAACTTTTTGGTTCCACCCTTTGGTATCTGACATGCTTGATGCCTAAGAAAGGAATTTATAAAGCAAGGAATTCCTTTTTTTGATATTGACTCTATGAAGACTAGGATTTAAAGCTGAATCTTGTATCAGATGACTGGCTATGCCAACAGATGTCCATACTGTGCAAATATTTACAAATATGCTTAGCTTATGCATGAGTAGTCAGTTCTGTGCAGTAAGTTGAATTCTTCAGTAAGTGTTTGCAGGATTGGAGCCAGAGCTTGTAACTTTCATGAAGCCAGACAGTTTGTATTACCAGTTATGCCAGCATAGCTCTGACAAAATTTATATAGTACTCCAGACCTGTAAGAAAGTTTATTAAGCCTTAGTTGAACTTCAAAGCACATAGTGATTTTTAAAAAACGTCTGTGGCTGATAAATTCAGAACTCCACAGCTGATTAGAGCCAGCCAAACAAAACATTTCATGATTTTAGTTTTATTTTAACATTATTTTCAGAAAAGCTTTTTTAAATTAACATGTTACTTAGTATGTTACTTTTCAGAATTTTGCATTTCATAACTGCTCTGTTGAATGAATCTCAGAAATTTTTCATTGGCTGTTTAGCAGAATGTGTAGTAGGATTACTTTCAGGAATGAAGATGGTTGCAGTTGGATTTAGAACAAAAATGTCCTTTGATGGTAAAATTCTGTTCATATGACAATCTCTATCTTCATAATACCTGTATGGCATTATGATACATACATACATAAAACCAGCTGGTACAGATAACTGCAGGATCTGTTTCTGGGTGCGAGTTCAATGCCATTTGTTCCTGAGTCTACTAAAAAAAGCTTGTCTGCTTTAATATTGAAGGTTACGAAATGACTACTGATTTCCTTGTTTAAGTACACATTTATATACTGTTCTATTGCATGGACAATGAATTGCTGCTCTGCCATTCAGAGCATGTGTGATGACTGACAGGACAAATTTCAGTTTTATTTTTGATTTCGTAGTTTTTATATTGGTTTCAGTGTTCTGGAAACAGCTCAGAAGCAAGGAATCTCTTCTGTCAGGTAGAACTGAGCATGTTCTTTGTTGAAGTCATGATTCTGGCTAGAGGAATGCAATCAGAGTGAGTTTTTTACCAATGGTGTGAACTGTTTTTAGAGAGACAGACTATCACTTTCTGTAGCAAAATAATTATGATTAATTCAGTCATATTTCCAGTACTTTAAAAGTTTGGTAATTCATGGTCCTCTCATGCCTGCACATCACAGGACAGAGCTACAAACCATACGCTCAGCAGTTACTTTGCATGGTTTGTAGAGGTGGGTGAAGGTGGGGAGGGGAAGCAGGGTTGACTGTCCCAGTCTTTGTCCTCATCAGCTCTTCTGCCACACCAAGACACTTGGGCTGTTTGGCACAGGAGCATGGCACAAAGGGGAGTCCAAGTAGGAAGGGAAAAGGAGTGCCTCAGCCATATCTGATATGACTGCTAAGCAAGTCTGCTCTTCTGGGTGAGATTGCAAATTTTACCTTTAGAGCTGGTAGCTTGCCCTTGGCCTGGTGAGAGGTCTTGTGCTGATGTTTCTACTGATACTTGCTTTTTTCCACGAAGACGGGACAATTTGACATGCAAATACAATCATATTTTTGTTTTATTTTTGTGAATGCAATGGTTCCTTGGTTAGAGATTGAACCACCAAGGACAGGACAAAGAGGGAAGCCAGAAGTGCTGCTCAGACAGGGTGAGAAGAGGGTGGCAACCATATTAATCACTCCAGAAAGGCTGGAAGCTGCCGATGTACATTGTGCAGCCTTATTGGGGATGTGTAGTGAAAGGTTGAGAAATGGAGGTGGGTGGCCAGGAGAGAAAACAGTGAACAAACAGGAAGAGGGTAGATGGAAGGATTGGTTGTTGTGGAGAAAGGTGAAAGGACAGAGAACTTGGTTGTGTTGGTAGTGGTAGAGCTGTGCATGCTGGCCTTGAAATAGAGTCAGCTCTTTGGGCTCTTTCTGCAGTTGCAGATTAACTGTGCAGTGGATATACAGGCTCCAGATTTAGCCTGGGGCAGGCTCGGCTCAGAACTAGCAGTTTATTAGTTCAAGTGCTATGCCATGTTAACACATCTCTGCTGTTTCCAGAACCAGCTTTGCAGTGCAGCTGCTTTCAGACAGTGTCTGAACTAATGAGTCCTGATGGACCAAGCTGGCTCTGTGTAGACCCACTTGGGTGTTTCTGTGCTGTGCTCCATGTTCCAGGGGATTTTATTAGCTTGGCTGGAAATCTGGATGTGAGCTTGCTCTGTGCAGAGTAGTTGACGTCGATGGTTAAGAAGACCTCCTGAATCTGGAGTTCTGGAGGAATCATGGTACAGAGACACCAAAGTGCTAACAAGTCCTGAAGGACCACACGGGCTTTGCTGGTGGATGGCTGAGTTTCCAGATAGTGCTTTCCTGCATTTCTAGTGGGGGTTGGGTAATCCTTACACTTGTATGCAAACTCTTTACCCGTGAGAATGTAGAAATGCCTGTACTGTCTTTCTGTTGCTGGTCTAGCTACTGAACAGGTACAAGAGAAAAATAGTAGCTCTTGGGGATTAAACCTTGGCTCTCTCACAGCTACAAAGTTACTAATGATGTGCTTTAACAGAGCAAATTCTGTCTGATTTACTGAGTATCCATGTACTGTAAAAAAAATACTGCTACTTTTTAATGTGAATGTAGGAAATTTCTACCTGCCTTTTGAGCTGGGACTGTGGAACTACCATTTTTTATGTGTTCTCTGAAAATCATAAGAGCTAGAAGTTGTGTTCCAGACTGAGAAATATTGCTGAGACCCAGCAGTATTTTAGGGCTATCTAAATCTAAAGATTTTTAATTTTAGGGCTATCTACATCTAAAGGCAGAGCTTTGGAAAACTCAAATACTGCGGTAAAGTCACTGTGTCTGACATAGATGTGATCTGAGCTCTGTAGAACAAATAAATATTCTTACGCAATGGCTTCAAACCAGTCTTACCAAAATCACACTAGCTGCTTAACAGGATTGGTGTGAAGGACAGTCTCTTTTTCAGTATTCCTCAAGGACAGGTGTTATGTCAGAACTGAAACTATTTATATCCTTCACTGGTTTTAGCAAAGAGGTCAGGAATTGAAGGCAGTTTTTAAAGTGTGATGTTCCACTCTACACCTAAAGTTAAGACTGATGTATTTAATATGTTCTGTCTTTGTCTGTATTAGGAAAATAAGTAGGGGTTAGCTGCATGCTGAAAATTACTGTCAGCCTTTATTTTTCTGAGCTAGACAAATTTAGCTGAGCACATTTTTTCAGTCTGCTGTTTTCTTAAACAGTAAATTGATTAGCTCTTTTATTGTTTTATGGGAACTGCCGTATGAATAGAACTGGAAGGGTTCAATGGGGGAGGGAAATTTAACAATCCTATTATTTTTAGGAATTACTTATTCAAAATAAAAGGAGCAGTTTCACATTATACTTGGCAAATTGTTTGAAGAAATCTCATATATGCCAAAAGTCAAATGGAGGCAGAAATAAATGGACTGTGATGCCAAACTATGGGGCATCAGCACATATTAAATTAATCCTCCATCCTTTCAGTTGAGACTAAGGAGCTTTTGTCTTCATGCAGTAACCGAGGAAGTATTTGACTTGAAAATTTTGGGTCTTAGTGAGAGAAGGTGTCGTAGCAAAAGAAGCTGTGGAATACTTAATTTGTGAAAGTGGTTTGCTTTAAAAACAGAAGTAGACTGGTTTTGCATTAATTTTTTTTCCATCCTTGCACTTTGATACAGGCTTTCACTTAGTGTTTTTAAAAAAATTTAGTTTATCTGCTACGAAATAGATTGCACTGCTGGGCTGTTAGAGTGCTTGAATGAAAAATTGTAATGAGTATCGAAATTAAGCAGAATAATTGAACATTAATAATTTCCAGAATAATCTAGGTAAAGAACTTGGAAATAATGTTTGC